ATATATATAAGATATAGATAGATACAGATATATAGATTTAGCAGCTGGATGGTGTAATGTTAAAACTATGCAAAATGTATAAGTGAGCAGATTCCTAACATGTTGAGCTGTCTGTTGTGATGACCACTTTTTTTTCTTCTTTTTTAATGTTTTGTTTTCCAGTTTACTGTAAGTATACATAAAACAGTGTTTTTGTCTTGTTTTTAACCCATAACATTTGTAAACTTTTATCCCTTTGGGTTGTGTAAGACAAAAAAAAACTCACTGTCTGGCAGGTTGCTACCTGTCTTTCAGCCACACCCTTCTGCACAAACACCACCTCTTCCTGCTTTTCTCTGTTATCAGTTCTGCTTTTCCCTGCAGGCACTTTACTCATGTTGGATTTGCCTTTCTATTATATGAATAGAAGCAGTTGCAATTGTGCAGTCTGAGCCACACAGTTCCAGTTTGTTTTTAATCGTATCTGTTTGTGGACTTTGCTTTTTGCTTGATTTTTATTTTTCCCGCCTGTTCCCTGTTTGTGTCTCATTGCTTCCCTCACATCTCCTTCAGCAGCCTTTTCCAGTATTACTTTCGACAAAAGGTGAGCAGTTTGAACTTTTAATTTTAATTTAATATCAGTGTCTCTGATTATATATGCATTAAAGGAGAAGTTGATCACAAAGATCTAATCTGTAAAGCAGTGCTGTCTGGTTAAATATTAAATTGTATATTTCAGTTTCATTTCTTCGTCATGGATGATTTTGTAAGAAACAAACTGCTTGAATGGGGGCTAAGTGAGTGGGTGGAGAAATTTAAAGGTAAAGTATTAACGTGAATCCGTGATGGGTACAGATATTGATTCTGATGTGATCTGTTGACTCTGAAACAGCATAGATTCTTGAGATTTTTGTCCATACTGCACAAAATGTTTTTAGACATAAAAGTGAGTTAAATTAAAACTGAAGAGCATTCATCTCTTTCACTCATTTAACAAGAATTTCTCAAGCAAGTTGAGAATAATCTTTATCTCTTCAACTTTATCTTTAACTGCAGATAAAAAAATAGATGCAGAAAGTCTGTATGATCTTGATGATGAAGAAATTGATCATGTGATCACAAAAGCTGGACCAAGAGTGAAATTCAAGAAGAACCTCAGGCTGTTAAAGGTAATTAATTTCTATCATTTCTATTTTAGTGCATAGAGGTTTGAATTATCTAGATACCGTATGTAGTGGAATTTTTGTTAATTCTTCACTAATTTGGATTTAAAATCTTTTGATTGTGGGAATAACAAAACTCAAATCAGGAAACAGTCATTTCTTTTCAATTGTGTTGTTTTGTTGCCTTAAGATTTAGTGTCTATATGACAAATGACATTTTTAATACATGTTTAAGTGCTCAATATTGTACACAGCTTTGCACTTTTTATCTGCAGTGTAAACAGGAGCAAGAAGCAGCTGATTTGGCTCAGGTAAGGATTATACTGAATTTCAGACATTTGGGCCAACTACCTGAGACAAAGTAAAGCTCCATCCTCTGGCTGATAGAGACTGAATCTAAAAACTTAATTCATCAATCTGCTGGTTGAATAATTATCTGTATAACTAAATTTCATCCTCAGGTCTTTCCATCCACAAGTGATACAGGTGAGACACACGCATCTTATTTATTGCATCTCATTAATCTGTTTTAAAGGCAGCACTATTTTGTACAATCAAACTTTGAGAACAACTTTCAATGCTGAGAGAAACTTTTTTTGTTCTTTCTCTTTCGTTTTTGTCCAATCAGGAAAGAGAAAATCTGATCTTCAAAGTGACGCCAGCAGGTTACAACCACCAGCTAAGCGACAACGTCTGTCTGTGCCGGGATTTGCAGGTATTTACAACTCTTTCTGAACAATTTTACAGTTGAAGCCACTATAGGGTTAAATTTCTGTGCAGGACAATTTTTCCAAAATATAAAATGTCGGCGTGGCAGGAATGAGGCATGACGTGACCACAATTCTACGTTCTTCAACATACTTTTATCTATGGTTGCTGTTCTAATACACTTCCACACATACCCACAACAACAACGACAACAACAACAATATTACAGGGCCCTACACCATTCTTAAGCTAGCGAAGAGTGATTACGATTACAGGTGCTTCTGCCTTCCCTGTCGCAACACCGCCGCCCACGACCCGCCACAGTCAGTTTCTGCTTTGGTGTTAGAAATTACTTTTTCTTTGGGCTGCTATCAAATTTTAACAGTCAGCATGTTGCATGATATATTAATGTCTGTCGGTAAGTTGTCACATTATGCTCCTGATATACTCTAATTCACACTTTTTGTGAATTTTGTGAACAAAATCTTTTGTTGTTTTTTTGTTGTTGTTGTTATGAGACTTTACATTGACTACATGCTAGTTTAGAAGTCCTGCTAAATAGTTCTTTACTTTCATGCCCACAGAATCAGTCATACTGTCTGATGCAAAAAGCATCATGACATTTGCACATGCCAGACTACATCACCAAGACAAACTCTGTGCTTTCTTGAAGTGAGTATTAAGTTTTCATATTTTTTAATGAATGGGCCTTAGTTTTTTATGTTTTGTAATATATGTGCATGGTTCCACTCATGACCATGTGCAGGTTTCACAAACGGATCAGTTTATTTTTTAGCTTCGTCTCAAATCCTTTTGGTTCAATATTCAACCATTTATTTCTAGTGTCAGTCTGTCTGGTATGTTGGTTTCTTTATCTATTTTTAACCTCCTAGGACCTGGCGTCCACATATGTGGACATCACATTTTGGGTTGTCTAGACCAAAATACTAAATTTTGCTCTACAAGGGCCTGATATCCACTTACGAGGACATTATACTGCCACTGTTCTATCAAAATTAAAACGAATGTCCTCATATGTGGATCCCAATTTTTTAGAAACAAAACTCAGGTAAAAAGAAAAAATCTGATAATTCTTTGTTTTTACATTCATCAGGTCCCAATCAGCCCAAATAGCAAAGAGAAATTAAAAATGCATGCCATGAAAGAGTTCGGGTCTTCGGAGGTTAAGTTTTACTTCTGACTAACAACAACAGATGTTCAAACCATACAAATTATAGATGATTTAATGATACTAAAGCATTAAATCATCTATAATTTGTATGGTTTGAACATCTGACTTTTAATGTGTATCCCACTTAGACTTAAAAAAAATGTCATCCAATAGCTAATAACAGAAACATCAGCACTTTTGCTGACAAACAATGAAGCTATGAACCAAAACAACAATAAACAATAAGCTGAATAAGTGTATAAAACTGAAACGTCTAATGATAAATCTTTGGATATTCTATAATGACATATGTACTATAATGACTATCACTATTCTTTTATGCATTAGTGATGTCAAAATATTGTTTTAAACCTTTTTAATTACATTTGAAAATGTTTTCATGACTGAATCGTTTAACCCATATTTAAAATCTTGATCAACAGGAAAAAAATCAGTGATTTGGAGACAGACAAGAGGGAGCTGGTTGGTGTCTTTGGTAAAACTGGGGCTGGTAAGAGCTCTTTGATAAATGCCATTATTGAAGAGAAGAATCTTTTACCCTCAGGAAGTATCAATGCCTGCACCTCAGTCATGATTAAATTGGAAGCTAACACCTACAGCTCAAAGTATGAGGCAGAAATTGAGTTCATCACAAAAGAGGTAAATTGAATTATAAAAGTTTCATTTTTACTTAAAACTAAATCATGTGTTACAGTGCAGTTCTGGGGGCTTAAGGCTGGGTACATGCCTCAATAAATATTATGTAAAAATGTTATTTTAGGAGTGGAACGATGAGTTGTGGTCATTTCATCAGTTTTCTTGCAAAAATGGAGATCACGAAATGGAAGATAATGATGATCATCATGATGCTGTGGAAAAGCTGTCAGCAGTGTATGGAGAAGAATGGAAACAAAAGTCTTCTGAAAACCTCATGGAGAGCAAATATTTCAAAGCAATTCCAGAATTTCTCCAATCCAAGAGGAAGATTTTGACATGTGAATCGGTAAGACAAAAACTCTCATATTACATTATATCTATCATATATATACAGCAAAATTTATTAAGTAGTTGGCTTTTTCACATGTTAAATTTTTAACGACTTTTAAATTTATTCATAGAAATCCACTACTGAGCACCTTTGGCAAAAAGTGAATCAAAGGGGCCAGAAATTTTAGCAAGTTAATGTCTGACGGCCAGTTGCATCAGGAAAGGCAAAAGGGCGTACAACTCTGTCAATCAAAACATGCTGAGTTACTCGCAGAGGTGCCCCCTTTTAAATAAGGGAGCAGTGTAAAGTAGCTTTTTAATGTCTCAAATTTGTGGACAACTATACAACATGCCCACATAAAGTTGTTTCTGCTAAGAGCAATACTAGTTATAAAGAATATAAAACTTTTCCTAAATAACTTCTTAAATACATTTTAATTGTGGCTGGCAATGATCCTTTTTCTAAATTATCAAATGGTTGATCGTTTTAAACAGTTCAACAAAGCAACAATTTCCATAGAAATTACCGTTACCTGAATTCCCCCTCAGTACCCCTCAGAGTGGGGGGCTGTCTTGGTATAATATAAAACAAGGGGAAGCTACATTATCCCATACTTCTGTGATGGACATACTTGTACACAATCTGATCATTTAAAGCTAAACTTTAAAACTAATTACTCCAGCTTTAGTGATCCAGTTTCTTTAATTAATTGTTCTTTTGTCATCTTTTATGTCACTGACTTTTTGATGGTTTTTGTAAAGCACTTGCATTGAGGACTGAAATTAAACTGCACTACTTTACTTTTGTTTTTTATTGCAGGCTAATGAACTCTGTGCAAAAGTTGTCAAGTACACACGAAGTGATTCAAAACAAGAAGAAGGCAATGAAGGAAAAAAGTGGTTTTGGCCACTAGTGAAGTGTGTGACTGTCAGGGTGCCAAACAATCCTTTTCTCCAGCATGTCACACTTGTGGACCTTCCTGGAAATGGTGACTGCAACAAGAGCAGAGATCAGATGTGGAAAGGGGTAATTCATATCTACTGCTCTTTGCTTATACTGTATTCTTGTGCAAACAGTAATGTCATCTTTTGATGAAGCACTGAGACATGTTATTCTCCTTTCAGATACTTGGAGATTGTTCTACTGTGTGGATTGTGACTGAAATTAATCGAGCAGCATCAGAGAAAGAGGCCTGGGAGATCCTGGAAAGTGTCAGTAGTCTGATTGGAAATGGTGGCGAATGTCAGCAAATTCATTTTATCTGCACTAAGTCTGATCTTCTTGATGATTCAGATGATCTGTAAGTTAATGTTGCATGATGATCAACTACACGGTGTTTCCATTTAAAATCAAGCTAGGAGAGATAAAGCACAGAGTTGAGACTTTTTTGTAATGAATGCAGAACATTTGGGTCAAAGGGAGTCTCAGATGCTGAGACAATTTTATAAAGTTTACTAAATAAGGTGGACTGAGTAATGAACAGAGAATTGCCTGGTCAGAAGGAAATTGAGTTATTTAAGAGAGGCACAGGCAAGGGTTTGGAACAGCAAGAGGGGCTGAAGAATAAAACAGGAGTAGGAGGAGAAAGAGATGCAATGATGGGATCATGGTAGCTTTATGTATGGGTACAAAATCTATGAGATTATAGGAAAGTTCCTAACAAATCATGGTCCAACGAGAACCTGCTGACATGTCTCATAATGCTTTAAGATTAATAACAATAATAATAGTGTGCAAAAGCCACCTAGGCAAAGCTCAGCTTGGTCACAAAAGGAGTCTCCCACAACTCCACCTGAAAGCCAAAACCACACAACCTCCTGCAAACTGATGATGGTGTACAGAACATATACATATATATATTTACATTTCTTTTAGTTCATCAGCTGATGTCCATGATCTAGTCACTGAAAGAAACGTGCAAGCCACGGATGCAATAAAGAAAGAATTCAACAAGCGAAGCAAAATTAGGGTGAGTTTTGTAGTCTTACTGAAAATCTAATGCAAAGACTCTCCACAGTTGCAAGAATGCTTTAAAATCAAATCACATTTTCCCTAGAAACACTTCAATGATGACAGTTTCAAAGTGTTCACAGTGAGCTCCAAAGAGTTCCTAAAACAAAACTACTTAAGTCCAGAAGAAACTGGTAGGTGAAGTCTCCTTCTAAATAACTGAAATGTATAGGGGGCCAGAAGTGACCAAATTGATTAATTAAATATACCATATATTTAAAACATGTAATAAATTATTTATTCAAACGTTTATTTAATTAATTATACATTTGATCAGATAATTATTGACACATTTACTTAATTATTTAATTATGTATTTCTTACATTTATTTTGGCACTCTTGGCCCTGGCACTGTCTTCATGAATTTTATTTTAGCTGTCAGTCTCACCCATCAACTTTAGGGGGCGGGGTTAATGCTGTTCAAGTCAAAACCATAGCTGTGGCCTGGTGGCTATTCTTTTAGTGGGCGTTTCTCTGCGCCAACAAGGACATGTAAAAACTAACTGAGATGTACTTTGAAAGACCCAGTTTGTGTGCCACTTTAAATATTTTTTTAGCCAAGAATGTAATGTTTTAATCTTCAGATATCTGGTTGGTGTGTCAAGATAGATCCTATTTGCAAAAGTGCTTCGATGATTTGAAAAATGTCTGTCCAGCCCAGTTTCACGACAAAGCGTGTGATAGGCCTGCTCGCAAGTGCTCGCGCTGTTATACCGCTGACAAAGCTCAGGTCCTGGTGCACAACTGTCATAACCCCAGCTAACTGGAGGTTGAACACCAACTTCCTTTACTAAGGTTATATCTATCGGGTCTTTATCTCCTGATGTTCCTATGTGCCACACTTGTTTCAGTCGCCAATTCTGTATTAAAACTAACATTAAAATTATGTTTAAGGAGGAGAGAGAGCAAATAAATCTGATGAACTTTGACTTTTACATTCAATAATCAGTGTCACCAGTGCATAAACGCATAGTCTTTTTTAAAAGAGATAACGGCGTTGGTGTTTCCCTCATATATTAACTGTCAGGTTTAAGTGTACCAGGCTTGTTAGACACTTTGAAACATACAGACTTCACAATGTTCAACTAATATTTTCATTATGAATATTAACCATGAAGGTAAACAATGAAGTCCAGCTGCTGTCTTTTAGCCCTGTACCAAGAGCGAGACCAGCATATCCAGGATATTTTTCAGTGTTCTGGAATCACTGACCCTAACACTGGGACCAGAATAAATGCTCACACGAAGCTGGTTGTCAGCTCTCTAAATTAACCCAGGGTTTCCCAGGGCAGGCACAAAGTGTTGGCAGCATCAAAGTAATCTAACGGTCATATACGCCAGAGGTCATATCGATATTCTTTTACAGAAAATCATCTTTATCAGACTATTTGAAAGACGTGAGAGCTAAAACTTTAATCAGAGCCGATCAGATTTGCTCTGTTGTAAATGAAACAGTGAAGTAAACATGACCTGACAGACAGAACCTGAATAAATTATGTCTGCTGTTTAACCTCCACTGAGAGCTAAAACTCAGCGGAGGTATTGAAGCTGTGTGCCGGTGATTCGATATCAGCTGCTGATAAAGTGGGTTCGCCTATGAGGTGCTCTGGAGTTTTATAAGTGTCCTTCACTCTCCGTAAATCCTGTTTTACAGAGAAACAAGGGAAACAAGCTCCAGCAGCTCTGCGCTCAGGAAAAAAAATACATTTGATTATCTTGTGCAGAATATTGCTCCGACATTACGTTACATAAAGCAACAGTGCCCACGTTAAACTGTGACGATAACCAGGTAACTTTTGCAAACATATTCAATGTTGACAACCTGACCTGATACGTGAAGATTACGGCATTGAATTCTCAGCTAAAATAATATTAAAAATACAGTTTATGACAGAAAAACGGGGTATTTTAAAACTTTGCTTACAGTTCAGAGCGCCACCACCATTGCCGCTTCTGTTTTGAAATGCATTCTGGGATACCTGGCTGCCCCAAGTCCACACTATTACCATTTCATAGCAGTCAATTATTTAGGATCAACCTGTCTTGACTTACTTTGCACTGTAACCATTCAGATGTTAGACAAGCAGCGGTTGCAGTGTTAACCCCGCCCACTGACTTTGATGGGTGAGGCTGACAGATAAAATAAATTCATGAAGACAGAGGCAGGGCCAAGAGTGCCAAAATGAATTAAATAAATACATCATTAAATAATTAATTAAATATGTCATTAATAAAATAAAATTTGAAATAAATAAATGCTTTAAATGTAATAAATGGACATTTAATTGATTATTGAAATATTTATTTAATTAATTAATTCCAATTTTAATTAAATAATGAAACATATATTTAATT